GGCAATCTGCACTCTTGCTTGACTTTATAGAGATGGGGACTTGGCACTGATTTGCATTTGGGTCCTCGGTCTTCTCTTGATGTATCATAGGCATCAGAGCAGCCTTAGTTTAATGATTGTCAGTGATGAGGCTTGCAAGCCTGGGGCTGAAAAGGACTGGATTCATCAGAGGGAGAGATGGAAACAGGTAGATCAAAGAGATTATGGAGTTTCCATTCATCATGGGAGATGTTCAAAACACATCTGGACACGGCCCTGAGCAACCTGCTATAGCTGACGTTGCAGTGAGAGGGGTGAAGCAGCTCCACTTTGGGAGTGAATCACCCAGTTTTCTCCAGAGAATCCATCCTCTGGTGAGAGGAAACTATAATGCAAAATCTGAAAACCCAGGGTAATGCTCTTGTGATGCCTGGAGACATGTACATTTGCAATGCAGCCCTGTCTGCCCATCTCTCATCTTCAAATCTGTCAGCTTAATACCTTGCAAAAGGCTGTTTCTCTCTGACCTTAGTGTAATTACTTGGATTAGTACAGAACCAAGCTTTTCAGCTGCAATATGAGAGACACACCAGGTTTTGTTCTGTGCCTATTTGTTCTTTTATTTATTCAGTACATTAAGCCCATTAGCTAGGTCATCATTCATTATGGTCTTTCTTCTTGCTTTTACTCTAATGATCTCCAAATGTCATTTTGAATGTTTTGGTCATAGTTGCCAATTTTAAAGCTCCTGAAAAGTTCTTGGCACTTTCCAACTGGCAAAAGCTAGCAGTATCCCAGCTCTCTATTTATCCTTTCAAATAAAGGAAAGAGTGCATATCACAACTCTCTTTTCCTGACAGGTTTACCTCCCCACTCCTTGGTTCCACATGGTGGTTATGGGAAGGAAGCCCATTCTCACTGCTGCCCTTCTGGGGGATGAATGAGTGCAATTGTATTTTTGGGTGGTATTTTCACAAAACAGAACCTTTCTCTGTTGTTTTATTTTTCCCTTGCCATATTTTTAGCACAAAAAAAAAAAAAAAAAGGAAGTCAAACTTCCTAGGCGGAAGAGAATTTCACTGAAGCAAGCCATTTTTATGGTATGAAAGGTAACATTTCTTTAAATTAGCCTGGCTAAGTTAGCCAGGTTCTACCTGCAATGTTTTCATGGAAATTTCCTCAGGAAATTACATTTCCCCAGTTTGTTTTGCTATGGAAAGCTACTGGTAGCAGTTGTCAAAGAAAATTGCAAGTACCGACAAATACTGTCACTTTCAAAGGCAAATATTTGCAAAGCATAAAGTAATGGCATGGACTTAAGCCATCCCTTTGGAAGAGTTCCTGCTGGCTAAGACAGAGATCCTTGTCGAGTGCAGGCTCCTCACACCCTCTCCCTGTACTGTGGCACGCCTATTTTACCTTTTCTCACGTTATGGTTATTGTTCCAGAGCAAGTGCAGGGCCCTACCTGCATATACAGTGTACAAATGTGGTAAAAGATACTTTTTATCAATGCTTTTACTTCTATTTGCTTCTGCTTGCATTGTCACCTGGGGTGTATTTGAGGTCATGTTGCATTTCCACTTTTGAGTTACATTATTTCAATTCACTGCCTGTAAGCTGTTCAGAAACATCCACACTGAGTTGTGCTATAAAGCAAGCAAACTTGTCCTCAAAAAAAACAAGTTATAACCCTTCCACAGTCCAGAAGTGGTGTTTGCCTTGAGGCTTCAGTTTTCATCAGCTGCCATTAAAGGTAGAGAAGCTTCTTTTCACCCACTGCACTTTTAAATAAACGAAGTGATTCTTGAGCATCACCTTATTTCAGCACCAACAGCAACTGGAGAAATATTATACAAGCAAATATTATACAAGTTGACTTAGTTGCAAGCTGATCACCCAAGCACCAGGCAGAGGATTTGCCAGTGCACTTTCAGGTGTCTGGTATGCTGATTTCCCAAAACATGCTTGACACCTCCTGCATCTCAGCTTACCATCCTACGTGAACAAACCTCCTTAGTCCTTCATCCCATGTGAACACAGCCTCCAAGAACAGCAGCATGTTAGCACTTTCTCCTTTGTTTCAAGAGCTTTACAGGGAAGGGTCTGGAGCACAAGTCCTACAGGGAATGGCTGAGGGAACTGCGATTATTCTGTCTGGAGAAGAGGATGTCCAGAGGAGACCCTATCGCTCTCTACAACTCCCTGAAAGGAGGTTGTGGTGAGGTGGAAGTCAGCCTCCACTCCCAGGTAACAGTCATATGACAAGAGGTCCTCAAGTTGCACCAGGGGAGATTCAGTTTGGGTGTTAGGAAAAATTTATTCTCAGAAAGAGTGGTGAGGCAGTGGCAAAGGCTGCCCAGGGAGGTGGTGCTGTCACCATCCCTGGAGGTGTTCAGGAACCACATGGATGTGGCACTGAGGGACATGGTCAGTGGGCATGGTGGGGATGGGCTGATGGTTGGACCAGATGGTCTTAGAGGTATTTCCAACATTAATGATTTTGTGATTCTATTGTGATGGATTCAAACAGATGGTGGATAAAGGTTTAGCAAAGTCTCATCATAAAGACCTTAACAAATATCCGTGGCTAGAATTTCATAATCATCCTATGGGAAGACAAATATCCATCACACATCAAGACTTGCAGCCACCTGATATCAAGGGTTGTGTGCATGCAGGACACAGAGGGATAGGGGAGGTGTCAGGAGAGAGGTTTCTTTGTGAGAGTCCTGTTGGACAGCTAGGTAGTATCCTCTCTGAGAAGTTGCAGAATGCCTTAGTAAACCTGTCTGCTTTCTCTTGGGTGGCCACCTGGTCTTTGGCCAAGACAGGAAGAGCATAGGCTGTGCATCTTGGGTCTGAAGGATGATTTTCTAAAACGCAGCTGTGCTGTAGTGGTCCCACATGTTTTTACTGTGGCGCAGAGTAAGCTCTGGGCAGGCATTTGTACAGGAAATCAAGGTGGAAAACCTCAGTGTTTCTGAAAAGATATGCAGGGGTTATCATTATATGAGGGACACTCCCTTCAGTGTTGTCATGGTAAGGATAACATATAACTAAACACCACAGGCTAAACATCTTTGCACAAAATTAAAGGGATGTGCATTATCTGGTGAAGAACATCTGAGAGATTCAACTGGGTTGGCAAAGAATGGAGTTCAAATGAAGATCTCCAGCCTTCATCCTCCCTTTTGTATGGGCCGCTGAAGTCTTTCATGATGGTACTGGAATCCAAAAACATAGGAAAGATAAAACTGTGTCTGAAGAGAGAGCAATTTCCAGCTGTTGCAATTCTTCTGAAGTCCCACCCAGGTGGGGAGTACAGAACTGACGGAACATCTAGACATGATGGCCTCAGGGGCCCAGCCTCTCAGCCGTGTTTTCAAGGCTATGTTTAATATATACAGATTCTTCGTGTAGCAGAAAGACTGTCAGAAGTGGAGTCAGAGAAAGATAGACTCCTTGCAGCCTGAAGGCCATTTGAAAGACTATCGCCAGTTGGTCTAACAGTTTCCATAGGAGAAGCATCAACAGCTGCCTGGGAGACTTGGGATGAGAATGTGTTCAGTTTATTGAGTAGCATCATTGGGGATCACATCTCTAGAAGGACTCTTCCACTGAGGTCTAAACTGAAGCTGAAACCAGCAATGACTGCTAAACTCTTGAACTTACTGCCCATATTGGTACTTCATAAGGTGTTAGAAACCCTTTGACAGTACCAGGACAAATGATCCCATCTTTACAAAGCAGGAATATATTGCAAGTCCAGCCACCCTGGGAACTGTTCAACTTCTCCATTAGAAATATGGTTTGCCTTTCTTCCTGCCAGTGTGGAAAAGTGACAACTTTCCCTAGGATTTATGAGAAAAAAAACTAGTAAACAGAAACACTTGAATACAAGAAAAGACTTTCGGCAGTGCTGGGGCAATTTGCTATGGCAGGCTTTACTATCATCTTACTAACATTAAGAGGGATCAGGCGTGTTATGTGAGTAAGAACTCAGCATTGACTTTAAAATTGTCCAGTGCTTCAGTCCTCCTGCTTTGGGTGTAAATCTGCTGGGGGGTTTCCTTCCTTCTGTCACTGGTCCCACATACTGCAATGGCACCCAGGTGTGGACAGGGAGGAACAGAGCAGGTGATGCCTCTGAGATTGCTGCTGCCAGGCACAGGATGGCAGCTGCCAGCCACCAGGCTTACTCCAGGCTAACCATCCTTATGGCTTCCAAGCAGACCAGAGTCTGCGAGAATGTGCAGGGAGATGGTGCAGGGAGATAGCATTACTCCTCCATGCTGTGAGCTGGTTGCAGGCATGTCTGCCTGCTGCGATATGCACATTTGAGATTGTCTGACCTTCCGTAGTCTGGTTGTTTTGGCTGTGCAGCCTTGGTTTATATTTGGTCTGGGCTGGCTTTTGCTTTACAGATCAGGTGGGAGGGTTTAACATTGTGTTTCTGGGGATTTGGGGATTTCTCCTTGCTCCCTCCCTCCCTCCCTCTCACTCTTATTTCTCAATGATTTCTCTGGCTAGGTCAGGTTGATCTGTGTGGGATCCTGGCAGTGCACCAGGGTAGAGCATAAGCAGCGCTTGTAACACTGATCATCCTGTGTACTCAGTCACTGGGTTACTTGGGAGCTGGAAAACCTTTTACAAAACAGCACATCTGTCCCAGTTCAGTTCACTTACAGTAAGTGGAATGAATATGGAACTCATCACAGGCAAACCTCCAGGTATCTTAGTCAGAAGACGTACTTCCTGCCTTTGGGATGTATCCAGCTGCACTGCAGCACTGTCACACTTGGAGCAGATCAGTAGCAATCATATTAGCCTCTGCTGCTTCTTTCTAAAGGTTATTTAGTACCAGATAAAACTTGTAGACATGGATCTATCCCCGCTGACACACAGAGGTTGAAGTCATCTTTGCGCAGTCTGCCCAGCCCTAATTTTTTGAAGCTGCAACAAGTGCCCGAGAGGCAGTTCTTAATGCAAGACATGCCTGCTATGTCCTGGGGAGTGCAGGGTCTCACATCCCTGTGCATGACCTAGGTCCCTGCAGCCTTGGGGACACGTGACATTGCAGTTGGCTGGCTGCAGTGTGGTGACAGGCAGCAGCAACATGCATCTCTCGTGCTCCCACGGACTTAGAGCTCTTCCGGTGCAGCAGCGAACACTCCAAAGCAGGTAATGTTTTCCTGTTGCTCCGATACCCAAAACCTGGCACTAGATTTATCTAGCTTGTGAGGCAGCCTGGAGAAATATTTGCCAGGACATGAGGCTAATAATTTAATCAGATGAATTCAGGCAGAGTCCTTTGGCGGCTCGAGTTGCATTATATAACAGGATCGCAGGAGACGCAGCAGGGGGAGAGGCTGGATGCTGTGTTGCGTTTTCCAGGATGGCCAAGGAGAGAGTCTACCTCCACTTTGTGCTCAGTCCACTGTCGTGGAGCTCCACATGTGCCTTCCTTTCCCTAAAAGCATGTCAGAGTTTTGAAATATCAAGTGGGGTTTTTTTACAATAGAAAACCCCATGCGGGGACTCCCCCCTCCCAAATCAGCATCCTGGTATTGGCTGACAGGCTAAGAGGCTGCAGACAGGTTATAATCTAGCCAACCCTACTGAAGTGCATTGTCCCATAGGTCTGAATGGAGAGCAGTGCCATAACAGCACATGCTAATAAGCACATGCTGTTGAGGGTCTGGAGGTAGGCGGGTGGTGGCTGGGTGACAACTGCTGGTGGATCAGGTGAGACATAAGGTCTCCTGGGCCCACTGGAGGGCTGTGTCCCTTTGTCACGTGCTCATTTGCCTGCTGTTTATATGTGTTTGCTTGGTATTTTCACACCCTGCCACTACACAATACCAGCCATGTAACTGAATTGATTGCTGCAGTGTGGCTAAAGATGACATCACACAAATACGGGAGGTTTAAAAACTGCATGACATGATTGTGCTTTTGGGCAAAGCGTGCAGCCTTGCACTGTAGCACGCTTACCGTAGATACGTAGAATCATGGCATCATTTGAGCTGGAAGAGGCCCCTAAAGGCCATATGGTCCAACTCCCCTGTGATGAACAGAGCCCTGTCCAGCCTGACCTTGAGAGTCTCCATAGACAGGGTTTCCACCACCTCTCTAGGCAACCTGTACCAGTGCCTTACAGCCCTTACTGTAAAAAACTTCTTTTAGTGTCAGGCTAAGAGGGCCAACACAGAGAGGAATGGCGCATGCAAATCAGCGTTTTGGACTGTTCGAAACTCACTCATCCATCTTTTCCTTGCTAGCAGCCTGCTAATTCCTCACCGGTCACCCTGAATCCTAAAGCCAATGGCCCTCGGAGATGAGTCAATTTCTAGGTGGGAATCCAGGACTTGCACTTCAGTTCACGCTGTTATTTTAGTTTGTGGTGTTTGCTTCTTATTACGGTAAGCTCCCAGGAATGTCAGCACCAAAATAGCACAGAATCACAAGGTTACCTGCTGAAGAATGAAGTAAACAAGAGGGATATTCTTTCTCTCTGCCTCTTTTTCTTTTTTCTTTTTCCTAAAAGGAGGCATTTTGAGCAGTATTACAGAACTGTAGGGACACGATTGCAGCTGAGGAGCTGAGGTTCGTACTGAGAAGAGGAAAGAGCCAAGTGCTGGGTGCTGGGGCCGTGCGTCTCCTGACAGCCTGCCCTGGCTGGGTGCAAAGGTGTGCTCTAGCCAGACTGCTCCAGAGATCCTGGCTCTGCAGTCCCACCTGGAGCAGAGCAGCCGTGGGCCTCTCTTAAGGGCACAGCCAAGGAAACTGAGCCTTTGCCCAGAGCAGTGCTGAGGTCTCCAGGGAGACTGGTGTGCAGTCCAGGGAGGCCTCAGCAGTCATCCTTGCCTGCACTGACTCCAAGAGAAAGGAGAGCAGAGCAAAGTCAGCGGCTGGCAGGCAGCAAGGGCAGGAGTTACCTCCTTGTTTCTAGGAAGGAGGCACAGATGGTGGAAATATTTCACTCACAGAGTGGCAGCAGCGATGCCCTGGCACCTCAGTGGCCTGGGTCCTGTCGCCTCATCCCCTCCAGTCTCCCTGGGTGACCTTGAGCTGCAGAGCTGGTATCTGCAGACATGTGGGAACAACACAGCCTCCACCTCTTTACCTCTTTTATTTGATACCTCAAGGAACAAGGACCCCACTGGTTTGCACCTTCCTCAAAGCCACAGTGATGTAAGAATGAAGCTGCCACCTCTGCCACCACTAGCTCTGTGCATCTTGGGAATGTCACTGCTCAGGCCTAGTTTCAGAAAGGGCGCTGGGAGAGAGGGCAGCACTGAGATCAGTGCTCTCCATCTGCAAAATGACAGCGGAGGCTCTGCAGCTGTGGTTTGGCTGGTGTGGCAGGACAGAGAGCCGAAGGGCACTGCTGAGGCAAACAGCCCGCTCCTTTTTCTTTCCCTTCCATTTTTGCAATACAGTACCCAATATACAGGACTAGAAAAAAATGGCAAAACCCAAATTGCGCACATTTGGATAAGGTTAGAACAGAAATGTTGTCTGCTGTACAATGAGACATTCCAATCCCATTCAAATGCAACGGTTCTGCGGTGTCACCCATGTGCTGCACTGGTAAGATAGGCCAGCAGTTGTAACCTTTTGTCCCTGCCCACTATACTAACAAAATGATAAAAAAGCCACAGTACTGACAATATGATAAAATAGCTGGTTTCACTGGCCAACCTATGTGTATGACTTTGGGCTCCGTGACGAAACATTATGCCAAAATCAAGGAGACTCCACATATGGGTTCAAGACCTGATGGGTTCAAGACCTCAGGTCCTCAGAGTGGTGAAGATCTGAGTATCTCTGTGATGGAAGCTCCTCCTTTACCAGCAAGGAGGAGCAAGACTGTAGGCCATCTCAGTGGAAAGAGCCCAGATCCATGCACAAGTGCAATGGGAACTGCTTGTTTGAGGGTAGGGACAGAGCATGGGATGTGGCACAAAGTGATGTAGAAAACAAAGTCCAGAAATACTTGACCAGAGGCAACCAAAAAGGTGGATGCAGCTAATAGTTGGAGGAAACTCTCACAAGGGGGTGATGCATATCTCTATGATGCTTATGGATCCAAACCAGTCACAACCCAGTGTCAGTTATGCAGGAAAATGGAAATGACTCATAAAATACTGCAGGACACAACAGAACAAATGTTCTGTCTGGGAGTGCTATGGGAAGATGCAGCAACAAGCGAAAGCTCAGCAAAAGCTGAGCAGGTGACTTTGGTGTGACCCAGCTTTGAAAGGAGGAAGGTGCAGTCAGAAGTCTCACAGATGGGCAAAGAAGAAAGGACAAGTCTGGCATGAGCTTTGGGTCTTGCTGAAGGAGCATATTCTGTCGTGCTAGCTGACTGCTGAGAAACTCCAGAGGTGGTTATCGCTAATTATCACTGTAGTTATCACTGAAAGGTCAAACATGAGTGTGGGAACGTGCATCATCCAGGAACAGGGGTTTTGTCACCCCATCATCTACAAATCTCCTCTGAAGCTAATGGGCTGGAGGAAGCAGCAGGTAGAAATGCAAACTGCAGTCACCAGCTATTTACTGATGATTGTGGGTCCTGTCAGTAGACACATCAAGTTTGTTCCTTACATAACGGCTTTAAATTGTGCCAGAGGAGGTTCAGGTTAGGTATTAGGAAAATTTTCTTCTTAGGAGTGGTGAGACATTGGAATAGGTTGCCCAGGGACATGGTGGAGTCACCATCCCTGGAGGTGTTCAAGAAATATGTGGATGTGACACTGAGGGACACAGTTAATGGGCATGGCAGGGATGAATTGGTGGTTGGACCAGATGATCTTAGTGGTCTTTCCAACTTCAGTTATTCTATGATTCTATACAGAAGTGGCCCTTGCAAGAAAAATTTCTATAAACTGATGCCTGAACTCAATGGAGAAACTCCATAAGATGAGGGAGAATCTGATTTGCTCTAGAAAGAAGTGAAAAGACGGAGCAGATACGGCAAGATAGAGAGTTGATGTTTTCAGGGAAGATGAGGAGAAAAACAGAGAAAGTGGTGGTAAGAATGAAGCAGAGATGCCTGTTAAAGTTTATTTTACACAGAGCCTATTGATCTCTAGACTAAGATCACTGCAGCACTAGACTGAAAGCAGAACAGAAGAGCCCACCTCCATTTTAACCACTTCCTCTCCTTTTTGGCTGGGCAGCTGGTCTCACAAGATGCCACAAAAGTCTCTCCACAACAATATATCCATCCGAACAGTATGCAGAGACTGTGTTCCTCTTCTTTAACAGGTCATTCTCCTTCTGTGGTGCTTTGTTCCTCCAGTGGCAGGTGGGGGAAGGTTTTTAGAGAGGCCAGAAAGAGGAGGTGCTGTGTGCAGGTGCCATTCCTCTGGAGGGCCTCTGCAGCCCTCTACCAAGGGTAGATTCCCATGGGAGTCATGGAATCATTATGTTTGAAAAGACCTCTAAGATCATCTAGTCCACCATCCAGCTGCCACCAATATTGTCCACTAGACCATGTATTCCCAGTTTTGTTCCACGAGGAAGGCAGACTGCACTAATTCGTTTCCAATTGCACTCTGCTCAGCAATCCTTCATGATGGCTGGGAACACGAGCCGCTGTCTGGGGCTTCCTAGCTGGGAGGCAGCTCTGGTGGCTTCAGACCTTATCCGGTAGCATCTGTTTCCACACCCTTTCCTTCACAGATGGTGCTGCCACAGGAATCCCAGAGTTCAAACTCACATCCAGCTGCTGGATATGCCTGTGCAAGGCCAGGGCAGCCACAGCCAGGCAAAACAGAGCAAGGTCTCCTTTATTACAGTATATAAAAGCAAGGGATGTGTTTATGGAGGTTGGGAAGAACTGGCTCAGAGCTAGATATTCTTCAAGGGGATAAGAGCCAGCTGCTTAGGGAACTAGCCTCCATCTTGGTTCCTAGTTGCATGTCAAATGTTATAACAAGCACTAAACAACATTTGATAAAGCTCATAGCACTAATAGCCTACGTGACATCAATGGTCACTCAATCAAGTACTTGCAGTAAAATTTGTCTGGGAAGCATTTTTACCCCAAGTAGGTATTTGTCCTGTGTCGAAATGTTTCTTTCTGTTTTAGGGTCTAGATCTTCCCTCTCTGACAAGTCACTGCATGATTTCCAGGCGGGCAGGAGAGAGGCATTTGATAGAGACATTTATTTTTAGGTCCAGGGAGGCTCTTATAATTACCAAACACCTGAGGTTCCCCATGGTTTCCCTTCTTTATCCAAGTCTTTGGACAAGCCTTTTGCCCGGAGTCAGTGTGTTAAGGTTGAAGGCAGCTTTGCAGTAACATCAGGTGTGTGTCTATTTAACCCTGGACTTGACATTAACATTTTCCTTAGCTGCTGCATGCACAAATCAACATTATCTACCTTGTTAGCGTGCAGCATAGTTGGAAAGCATACTAGGATCCAGAGGAGAATGAAGTGGGGGTATTATTCACACAGAGCAAAGAGCAGAGCTCTGTAAGCAGGCTTCGCGCTGAACAGGAAGATTTAAATAGTTTCTTCAGAGACAGCTTTGGCTCCTTCTGTTACACAGTTTTGCTCAAGTATTCAACAAATTATCTCATGAAGGAAGCAAATATTGCAAGAACAATATATTTCGTCTGTCTTGCAGGGGTTGGAAACCACAGCATGGAAAGAGCAGCCTCAGCTCCCTAAACAAGTTAAACAGAAAGGAAAGGCACAGAGAGGGAAATCCTCTCTGACTTTGTTATGGAAATGTGATACAGTTTGACATTTTAATTGCGATTCTCTCCTTATTATCTGGCACACGTTCACAGTGCCCAAGATGTTGTTTAGCGAATCCAGCTGCCTCCTCCACTCCGTTTGAAGTCTGGTGACTCCGCGTGATAGGGGAGTGTGAGAGTCAATGTGATTTGTGTATGAGGAAACATAAATATGTCACAGGAGTTTAGTCTTATAGGTCTGCAGAGTTTATACTCACAAAATCTGTTGTGCCCTTGTTTACACACCCAGATCCAAAGGCCTGACACACCCTCACTCTAGCTCAAAACTTTCATCATTTCTGACTTGTTTCTAATGAGACCATTGCAAAGCATGTGGATGATGTTTGACCACAGTTTAATGGACACGGGAAAATGTGCTCTCAAATGTTAAGAAGAGCTTTAATCAAAGTCGATTCTCTGTCATTAGCTGAGACAAGCACACATGCTGTTCTGCTGCCACATGCACAAACTTCTACACACAGGCCTTCCTGCACACCAAAAACACATTTGTGCCAGCAAAAGGCAGGTAGGTATGTGAGCATTTGCATAGCCCTGAGCACAGCGATGCAGCACTGCCAAAATGCCCACCCCCACGTCTGCTCTCCTGCAGCAAACATCATTCAGCCAGAACTGCTGCTACAAACTCATCTGTTTGGTGCTATTCTTCACCTGCAGTTCACCATTGCGGCCAAGCACGTGGGAAGATTTGGGATGAAATTATCGTGTCTGTATGTAGCAGAGAAATGGAAAGTGTTATCATGTGGCATATTTAAAAACAAACCACAGGAAGCACAGAGGTCTAGCTTAAGGGAAAGGACCTGTGGGAACATGGGATCAGAAGCAGGTATCATAGCCTTTGAGAATGTCTTAAATCCCAGGCTGCAAAATTTGAGTACCTGATAATAAAGGATGGCAATATTCTCCCTTTCAACAGGAGATTCTTTGAAAGAAGCGACTGTGTGAATAAAAAGATTCAGCCTAAGTCACTCTTGGAGTATATCTGTCTCTCTGAAGGCACTAAGCTCACACTATGTCCTTCTTGGAGTTAGAAAAACTGATTTTTTAATCAATTTTGTATGAACAAATGACCTCAGTAAAGCTACCACTGAAAGGCTTCCTAACCCCAGTCCCAATCCTTTCTCCAGCAGGGAAAAGAGCATTGGCAGGATCAACTTGAAAGGCCCGGCTAGATTTGAGCTCTCTGTTACTGGACCTTTATGTAAAGGAGTCATACAGGTAACATCCAGTTCTGCATCACAGAGAAACGTATGTCCTCATTCTAAATTAGGGGCTGCATCTTTAAAGGTCTTATGCTTCTAACGTTTGCTTCTGCAGCTCTGATGAGTGAAGCGAGGTGGCAACGACCACTGCATGAGTCAGAGTTTAAGGACGAGGAGTCAAAATGACATTCTGTTCTGGATGACAATTACTACATGGGAAGTGTCAGCCGACTGCAGGATTAGACTGTTGGAGCTTTGCCTTCTCAGCTGCACAAAAGACAGCACTCTGCTATTGAACATCCCAAACTTTCTCCAGTTGTTGCTGAGTAGATTTAGAGAAAGTACCAAAATGGAACTTTGCTGTACAACTCATAGCTTCCTACGAATCTGAATATATGTTTTCCCTTCATGGTCTTTCCTGTTCCATTCCACCGAAAAGTAATGTTCCTCTCTGAAGATTTTTGGGTTCGGGTAGAGAATCTAACAGCACCCTACAGTGATGTGATTAGCACTGGGATTGTGTGCTCGGACAGACGGCTCTTCTCTTTACTTCTTTACCATTCATTCATCAGTTATCTGTTATCTGCAAAATAAGATGACTCCCAACTCCATTAATTGCAGCTCCATGAATCCCAGCTCCGACTGCACAGTAATCACCTATCAACAGAATAGAAATTGCATGTTCTGTGCTAGCAGCCACCAAGCCCTCCTGGGAGGGTCTCAGGAGGTTTCATCCCATCTGTGATGGCTCAGTGAGACATACTAACATCACTGCCCAGCTCTTAAACATTATTTCTTTCTTAAGTTCAGAGTCTTGGCACAGCAACCTGTTTGGAGGCCAACAGCAAGCTGAAGCCACAGGTTTAGTGATAAGGGAACGTGGAAATGGAGCCAATACCTATTTTTGTCTCTGAAGCATGCGACTGACACTGCAGCGGAGCTCTCTCAGCTCACTTTTGTCCTCATGCAGAATGCCCAAATCATGTGAAAGTGGGAGGCCATTTGGGAATTGTGTAGAGTGGGAGCTCCTCAGGAGGGTTTCCCTCTCCCCTCCTATCCCCTTTCGTTCAAAGAAAGCTGCCTCCTAACCTAACCAGAGCATGAGATCAGTTGGCATTTGAGCCAGGCAGAAGCCAGGCAGCTTACAAACCTCTCTCCCAGGAGATACTGTCAGAGATGTTACTACCTTCAGCAGCTGAGCAGTTTGATGCATTGTGTGGTGGAGGTGCGACCTGCACCCTCAGCCTACAGTGGTGAGATGCTTGCACACAGGAACCACTCCTGTGCCCGGCTAATACACAGAAGTCTCCAATGGCAGACTATGTGTCTGAGCCTCAAGAGCTCGCTGCCTAAGTGAGGTGGCCAGTGTGAGCTTCCCTTCATCTGTTTCCATGCAACATTAGTCTGTGTAGTGCAAGCCAGTCTGAACAGTAGGTTAAGCTAAAACAGATGACTTTGCCCTTCCTCAGCTGAGGAGCACTGCACCAGTGTTGTGGGCTGTCATACAAATTCCAGCAGAAGCACTGTTACAAGTAGGTGTTGAGTGCAAACATCCTAAAATATTTCCTAGTCACTTGCAAAGTGAACTTCGCTCTCAGTGGCAAAGATCATTTAGTCCACTGCATGGAGGGGTCATCCACGCAGGATCCTGCACGGTTATCTGACACCAAAGGTGAGTGTGCTCTGCTTGCATTGGGAGCTGGCTTACAAGCAATGTTGGAACACTGCAGGAGATGCAGGTTTCTGCAGCCAGCTCAGGCTGCTGAATAGCTCTGCTCTTTTTGGAGCCCACTAGTGAGATCCTTCAACAACTGTTTCCCACCTAATCCCTGCCTAACATTATTATCTCTGTTGACTGTCTCCTTCTCCCCCTGCCCCATGTCTCCTTATCTGATCACCTAACCTCTCCAAAATTAGCAGTGCTGTGTTTAGCCCTCTCTGGCACTCCTGTGGGTGCTGGGTCTCACAGGGAGCCTACAAATTTCCACTGCTGTTTGAGAGAGGAGTGTCAAAAGCACTGACATCGGATCCCAGTGAGCAAAACTAAACCAAGAGGCCGGAGCCTGTGAAATGTTCTTAATATAGTCGGGGTGAATAGCTCCCATCTTGTGTTACACAGGTCCTGCTGTCATGTGTCCTGCCAGCCCCATACCCCTGTCAGGCAGGAGGGCAAGAGCGTGAGGTCACTTCCAACAGCTCCACTTCCATGACGTCGTCATGGCAAGCAGGGCAACAGCTCATTTTAGGCGTGGGAAGTCAGAGGAAAGGGCAGGCACAGGACTTAAGCTTTCCTACTGCTTCCATGTGAGCCAAACATATTTTTGGAGGTTACAGGGAGGTCATTTTTCTCCCCTTTCCTCCTTCTTGGAGGCTATAGTAGTGGTATCACTGTCAGCTTTTTAGGAGTTCTGGACTGAGGCAGCTTTGCTCCAGCCTTACTGGAGTATGAAAGAGCCATCTACAGGTGATGGGAGATAAGGCGACATGGCCCTACCTTTCCTCCCAAACAGCAGGAGGATGAGCTGGCAACCAGAGCTGGCGGCCTCTTCTTCCATGCTACACCTTCTCTGGGTCACAGCCACTCTCTTGCAGGGAACTCACAATTTATCCAAGCTCTCCCAGTCTGGCATCACTGACTCCATCCTGTGCACATTCCAACCTTCTGGGGCCAATGAGTGTCCCTGGGGTGGTGAGGGAATGCATCGCTTGAAAGCCACCATGACTGTGAGGGACCCTTGGAGGCACCTCTATAACCCTGGGGGGTCACAGTTTTGGAGAGAAAAAGGGCAGGAAGCACCACGGGTGTGCACAGGGCCAGTCTTGTGCCGGAAAGTGTGGTTTTACACAGCTGGGCTCCAGGTGGAGAGCAGAGACTGCAAAACATTTAGGAGAAGCTGGGAGCTTCTGGTCAGAAAAGCTGGGAGGAGGTCTGGACTGGAAAACCCCTTCCAGTCAATAGTTTCTGAGAGCTTTCAGGTAAGTCTATAAACTTTTTATATGTCTGCTTTCCCCTTCCATAGAAAACATAACAGTTCTTTCTTTCTCCTCCTTGGGCTTTTCTACATGGCCCCATGTTCACAGGACGCAGGAGGCATGGGCATAATTTTGTTTTTTTGCTTTCCTTTCACCATTTGCCTCCAAGATCTCCTTTTCTCTTTTTTTTTCCCATCCAATTCACCTTTCACTATCCCGCTGTCACTCTTCCAGTTGTTCTCTGTATACTACTCTGACTTAACCAAGCTCTGGTTTGTGAGTACCGTAACCCCTATGAGCTATCTGACTGACACATGACATATTTTTAAAGTGTGGATTTAGCCCCTGTGAGCTGAAAAGCAGCAGTCAGCATGTATGAGCTGTGCAGCATAATAGAAAATAAAGCTTTTAATTAAAACTGGTATTTCAGGACCTCTGCTGGTGGCAGCCCTGCTGAAATACGACATTGCCGAAGCCCTCCCAGTTGTAGTGTGACCCCATCTCTGGAAGCTGCAGGTCTCAACGTCAGCACCAGCACTTTGTTTAGTGAAAGCACTACACGTAATGGGAAAGTACCCAGCTGGGTCTCAGAGTAGTCCCATCACGGGGTGATGGCATGTACCAGCATGGCAGAGGGCAGATCACAGCCATGATGCTGCTTTTCACGTCGGTTCCAAGAATGTCCATCTTAAGTGATGTGGAATTCAAACTTCATGGAACTGTCCCCTATGTAAGTGGGATGGGACCCAAGGAGTCATAGAATCACTTGAGTGGGAATAGACTCTTAAAGGTCATCTAATCCAACTCCTCTGCACTGACTAAGGACACCTACAGTTACATCAGGGTGCAAAGAGCCCCATCCAACCTGACCATGAATGTCTCCATGGATGGGGCATCCACAGCATCTCTGGACAGCCTATGTCTGGAAGAAAGGCCTTCTGATACCTGACCTTTATATTTCACATAGGGCAGCCCCTCTTCTTGCATCTTGCTCTGCTAATATTACATTTCTTTTATCCCCTTCATCCAATGCACCTGCTGCTGCTGACTCTCTGAAGTGGTCTCCAGGAAGGTCACAACACTGAAGTTATCAGCTCACCTGCAGCTTCTCTAAAGTGTCACCAAAGACACAGGAAGGCAGGAACAGGGATTGCTGCAGTGCAAGCGGACATACCTTACTGATGACTTGCTGGGCAGGCCAGCATCTCAGAAAGCAGCCACAGGCTGGGCTTGGTATGAATAACTGTCTTAAAATGGAAGCAATGTTGCCCACTGGTCTCTGGATACCTTACCTCCTTGGCACAGGCTGAAAGGGCACGAGGGACTTCAGCCAGCTCTACTTGGTTCTTGAGCACCCGGGGCTGAGTTCTCAGCAAGGTGTAGGAGCTTGACACAGCACTTCTCCTTTCCGTCTGTCCCACTTTGACCCAACCACAGTCTTCATCCAAGGCATGACTCAGAAAAGGATAACTCACAGTCTAAATTTACAGTATCTTTTTCTCCTAAATTTTCAAGCAAAAAAAGCATGGGCTTCACAGACTGTGAGGGCAAGGTAGGTATTTCCTATCAAAGGGAAGTAAATCAGTGCTCTGCCTCTCAGGGTGCATCTGCCAGCGTCTTATTACTACATTAACAGTTACAGTTCACAGCAAAATCAGAGAGATGGAAAAACTAAGGCTTTGGATAGAAGAACAAGTAGTTTTTTGGACACACATGATACCCAGTGCTCACAGGTCATTTGAAAATATCCACTTCGTCAGACAAAGTTTCCAATATAGGGGTGGGTTATGGGGAACAAAGATTCCTTGAAGAAGGAGCTGTACCCAGGGGAGTACCACCAGACAGGTGATGGTTCGGAGGTGTCTTTTGCTCAGCAAAGAGGAGCCCACTCTGAAGGGCTGTGTGCCCCTTGCATCCTTAGGTCTAGGCCTTTCACACACCAGCAAGCGTGGAGTTAAGGCTGCAGTCAGTGCAAAATCCAAACATTTGCAAGTGTGGGAATTCCCAAGGAGAGCAACCAAACTGCCTTAACTCTGCCCCTGCAGCAGTGGCTTTGTGCAGCCCGAAGCCGTCTGCCTGGCCAGCTGCAACAAAGAGTTTAATCTTATCAGTGGCCATAAAAACTCAAATTCCTCTTAGCAGAATTGCTGATGGGGACGGTAGTGCCAAGCCTGGCTTCACCACGCTCCTGCACAGTCAACAGGGAAGAGAAATGCTGTATCACAAATTCCTGAGCCCCAGCTCCCCGCCTCACACAGGGCCAGCAGTCCTGTTGGCGACCCAGTACCTTGTAGGGTAGCATGGGGTCCAAAATGCTTCTCCCCCCCTTAATCAGGGGCAGGATTTTTTATGTTACTGAGATTAAAAAGGTCCAGCGCTTCCTGCAGGCTTGTCTGCTTGGCTGCAGGTGGGCCCCACAGCTCCTCACTGGTGGTCTGCAGGGTGTGCAAAGGGAGGGCCAGGCTTTTTGGTCAGAAGCTGCAGGTAAAGCTGTTCTCCTCCGTGTAAGATGTTTTGAGCTCAGCAAGGGATGCGTGCATCCTCAGGAATGGCTTGGCAACACCACTTGGCGCGGAAAAAACAGTGCCTCAAGATCTTGTCACCTATCTGGGCTGGCTTCTATGTATCTGTGCATGCACTGGAGAAACCAGTGGGCTCAGGTCTCAGGCATGGTTCTGGGCTTTGCCTCAGTGGCTCATTTTGGTGTTACTGTTCAGCAAAAAGGTGGTAGTGAGACTCTTTGTCTCCCTTGATCTGCCACTCAGAGCTGTGAGGCCTGTCTTGCAGATACTTGGACCAAGGTGCCACCTCCACTGGCACCAAAGTCATTGTGACTGACTCCTCTCCATCCTCTCCATCTCAGTCTTTGCCCCTCACCAAGCCTCTCATATGTAGGGACCTTGCAAAGTAAACATCAGCATTCCTGGTCTGTATGCAGCTGTCTTCTCACCCTACACATGCCACCGCTGTCATCCATTCTGCTGTTCCACATTCATTC